ATATAATATACGTAGACTTCAGTGTTTGTATTTCTGTTAGAGATTTTCACCAAATCTGAGATATGTGTATATCATATAATATACGTAGACCTCAGTGTTTGTATTTCTGTTAGAGATTTCCACCAAATCTGAGATATGTGTATATCATATAATATACGTAGACTTCATTGTTTGTATTTCTGTTAGAGATTTTCACCAAACCTCGGATATATATAAAATATCTGCGTTGGCTTGAACTTATCCATTGCATATATGAGTCTTATACTTTTCTTACTATTGCAAATTGAATGCAAACATTTAATAGTGTGATACGTATATTAAATAAAATAGTTTGGAATAGTAAGTTAATCAAAGTAAACATTATTCTTCCAACTTCAGTTTCCTAATGTTCTTAAAAATCACAAAAAGTAAAACATAAGAAATTTCTAGTTATTTTATGCAATCAAAGAAATTTGGAATTTTACTAACCGACTTCATCTACTGCAACGAGTTTCAACAGTCGGGATCGAATTGCTACAAATGTTTCGGAGTATGGCTGCAACGATTCCTGTAATATATATATATATATTGCATTATGCTCTTTCTATTATTTAACCAACTTTAAAGTAAAAAGCGCCCCATATCAACTTCTTACCTGACCACAGAATATACTAAAAAAGAAAGAAAAAAAACAGCATTTATCTCATAACGAAGTGCTCTCTAATATAAGTTTAAATTTCAAACAAACACCTATCATTTTCTAATCTCAACAGAAACTTTTCTTTGAGAAAAAATATTCACTTTGCGTTTTCTTTGTTCATTTTAATAATTTTTCGGAAATTGGATCATTATAATATCTGCACGATATTATGCGCATAGCTATAATATACTATAATTTTAACAAACAAACAGCGCCACCTATCAGCTTTAAACCTGACCAAATAATTTCCTTTTAGAAAAAATAACCATTATATTTAAATTGTGCTTTCAATGTTTATTTTTAAAATTTCCATGAAAACTAATTATTACATTGTTATAGCATTTAATATTAATTTTAAAAACAAACAGTGCCACCTATCAATATCTTACCTGAGCAAAGGATTTCCTGCCTGTGAAAACTGACAGCACCCCCCCTCCCCCAGTGGCACAGCGGTATGTCTGCGAACTTATAACGCCAGAAACCGGGTTTCGATACCCGTGGTGGGCAGAACGCAGATACCCATTGTGTAGCTCTGTGCTTAATTACAAACAAAGAAACAAAACTGACAGCTACCAGTTAAATAGACAAGGTAGCAGACAATGACCCCAGTATGCATGAAGTGCTATCCCGTAACTTATAGAAGTGTAGTAACAGAGGCATAATTACGGCTGCACCTAGCATGGTTAGATAGCAGTTCCATCGCTCCATATAAACCGTACTGTTGGTCGTCTCAATTAAACATATACTTCGTATAAAGATACATAACATCGGCTTCTTCTGCATAGAAAAATAGCAGATACTGATATCTTGTTACCAAATGCCCTCTAGATGGTTTCAATGATCCCTGTTTATTATGGATAATGTGATAGTAATTTCTGATGTTAATGATTAAGCCAATTATGAAATATGTATCAGGGAACTCGTGAGAAAATGTGGTTTATTTTAAAATGTTCGCGATAAGCTACATTAGAAAATATCTGCACATTGCAATCCTTAAGTTTGGTGGCCTGGTGGTTAGGGTGCTCGACTCGCAATCTGAGGGTTGTGGGCTCGAATCCCAATCACCAAACATGTTATCCC